TCCAAAACTGAGCTCATGATCTCTCCCCTACTCCTTTGTCACTTCCTAACTTACCTGTTACTCAAGGGTACCACCATACTCTCACTCCCTATATCCAATCTATTTTAAAGTCTGTCAATTTAACCTTTACATTATCTATTATATTGCCCCCTTCTCTCCTCTAACACTGCTACTATCCTAGTGCAGGTCCATATTGCTCCATGGTTGGTCTCCCTGCCACAACTCTTTCCCCACTCCAGACCATTCTCCACTCAGTTGCCAAAGTGGTTTTCCTAAAGCACAGATCTGGCCAATGGCTCCCTATTAGCTTCAGGATCAAATAAATATAAATTATCAAAAGTCTCAGGTAAAATCCTATCTTCTATAGGAAGCCTTTCTCAATCCCCTTCCCAATTCTAGTGCCTTCTTTCTGTTGATTATTTTTAATTTATCCTTGTACAATTGTACATTGTTATTTACATCTTATCTCCCCTGATTTTTAAATTCTTGAGGGTAAGGAGCTGTCTTGTGCTTTTCCTTCTATCCCCAGCATTTACCACAGTGCCTGGCACATAGTTAAGAGCTCAATAAATATTTAGTGACTGACTGAGGAGGGCACTGGTGGATTCTTTATATTTTTACCTTTCTTTCTCAGTCTAACAGCTCTGATACGTTTTCTTTTCCAATGTCTCTTTCTGCTTTCTTTGCCAAAAAGGATTATCTTTAGACTTGAAGGACATATCACTACTATAAGTAATGATAATTATAACAAAATAAAGCTAACACTTATATAGTGCCTACTACGTGCCAGACACTTTACAAATATTATGTCTTTTGATCCTCACAACAACCCTGAGAAATAGGTGCTATTATTGTGCCCATTTTATAGTTGGAGAAGCTGAAGCAAGTTTGCCCAGGATCACACAGATCAGGTCTTACTGACTCCAGGCCTAGTTCTCTATCCACTGTGCTACCTAGCTGCCTCAATAGAACACAAATAGCTTTTAAGCAAATGGAACCCAAAATAGGTAGGGAGATTGTAAGAGAAAACCTAATTGCTTTTGATGAGTTCCAAGTTCCCAGAATCAGATAAACTATGTCCCATGGTATTGAAAGAATTAGCATGTGTGATTGCTTAGCTATAGTTTATAGGACCATAGGTCTAGAACTGAAAAGTACTTCAGAGGTCCTCTACTCTAACCCACACATTAATAAGTAAACTGGGCTCCAGGGAGGTTAAACGACTTGCTCTATGTCACACATGTACTAAGCATGGCTATATATCAACCTTCATCCTTCTTTCCATTGTACTATGCCTGCTTCCTTTGAAAAACTGAGAATGGAAGAGATGCTATAGTACTGGAGAAGGGCAAGAATCAAGTAAGCCAGTGAGCCTGCCTTCTATTCCATATACAGAAAAAGAAGCTATAGTCTCAATGAGCAAGCATGACTTCCTTAAGAATACACCATGGCAGTCAAATACTTTTCTTTTTTGAAAAGAATAGTAGATGATGGGGATTGAAGTAGACATTGCTTACCAAGCAAAACATTTAATTTAGTTTTTCTTAAAGAGATATGGGTAGGCTAATATAATTAAGTGGAACTATTTGAACGGCTTGACTCAATGTAAAGGTCAATATAAGTCTGAAAGGACACCCCCCCCCAACCAAGTTCTGTGATTCCTGTTATGCTATTTGTATCAATGACCTGAATTAAAGTGTATATAGTGTGCTTATCAAATATGCAAATGACACAAAGATAAAGACAGCTTTGAGGCCAGTTCTCTGCCTACTATGCTGTGCTGTCAAATTAATTTTTTACAAGCAGAAGCAAAGCAAGAATTGAGCAGCTCCTCCTCTCCCACAATCTGCCTAGTAACATCCATGTTTAATGTCTATTCTTTCTTTGAACCTCTGCTTTTCCCCAATATAATTTTGAAAGCAGAAAAAAACAGAAAAAAATTTTCTTGTCAAAATTTGACTCTTTTAAGTATCTGCAGAGAATACATAAGAATAATTAGTGGAAAAAGAACCCATTTTCATCTCTGCCCAAGTTTGAGGTAGAGAAGTAACCAAGTAAGTTGTAGTTTAAGAGTTATTTTAAGTTTGCCCTGAGTAAAGAATACTACTACCAACATGACCAAAAGTCCCCTCTTATCTGGCCTACAGCCAATGTATTTATCCATTTCATGTTGTGTACTCCAAGAAAACCAGTATATGATCTAAGCCATCTAGCTCTGTCCTCTCTAGCACCAGGCATCCTCAACTTCAAACCTGTCATTTTCCAGCCTGCTTTTGCACTTATACTTTCTTCTACCTCCATCAGCCTTCTATCTCTCACTCAGAGAGCTTTAATCCTATAAATACCACCATAGCTTATATAAAGGATATACCAATGAACTACTTATTTATTGTGCTATTCACCAGCATTGTTACTTTCCAGATCAAAACTCCCTTTCCTGGCCATGCTCTCTACCTGTATTATCTCCCTTATCAAAATGTAAGCTTCTTAAAAAGAGAGACTATTTCTCTTTTACATTTGTATCTCCAAGGCTTAGCACAAGTGTCTGACTTGTCTGACATCTAACAAATATTTATTATTTATGCACATTATGGTAAGTTTGGAAATATCTATCAAAGGATTAAAAAAATGAACTTACACTTCAAAATAAAAATGGAAAGGAAGAAAATGAACATGTTAATAAAGAAGAGAAAAAAATAAGAAACAGCAGGAGCAGAGGTGTTCATAAGGCATCGCTAATAGGTTCAATTCTAAAATGTTATCAGTAATACAGAAACATTGCTAGTAAGGGTCCCACACAAAAGGACTTGAAAAAAGGTGAAAATAAAAAGTAATTAGAATCAACCTGGAATAAAGACAATATAAGAGAAAAAGAAAAACCCTTAAAACAATCATGGAAAAACATCTGGTACAATAGTGCAACACAGTAAATCTAAATCAAATTTATAGAATAAGGATTCTTAAATGATGCCAATATCACATATAGTTTAAAAAAAAAAAGGCAATAGTTTCACCTGTCTCAACAACTATACTTGGAGAAAGGATATACTCACTAATATTTCAGAGTGATAGGTCAGTAAGCATTTTATAAGATCAGACTTTGCAAAGATGTGTTCTGAGGAATGAATGGATCAAAGAAACAACCATACCATGCCAACAAGAATTTATGGCTCAAGGAGTCACTGACTCATAGCTATGTTTTGACTAGATGATACCTTCTTAAGTTATCTGGTCCATCCATGTGCCTTCTGGTCAACTTATAAAAATTATAAGATAAAAAATGACTGAAATTTTTCCTAAAGGGTAGAAATTCTAACAGCTGAGTTCTTCTAGATTCTCTGCACATGTCCCATAAGATATACTACTTATGAAAATATAAGATATTTACTACAATATTTTTAAGCATTTAAGTACAATCTGTGAAACTCAATCCGAGAAGCTTTTGTCTTATTTAAGAACAGAGGTAGGCAAAATAGGCAGTTTTCAAGTGTGGTATCTTATTTTATATTTTATAAAATGCATATTTGTAAAAGCAGAAAGCTCTGCTCTCCACGGCAAAAACATCACAAAAGAAATCCCTAACAAGTTGCATGTGTTGCAGTGAAGATGCAAAGCCTACAGTGAAAAGTAATACAATGGTAGCATAATTTGCAAAACAAGCTGAGAATACTTGTTTGTCCTTGGTTCCTGCAAATAAAAAGAAATGACTCAAAAAGTTTGGTAAAACAACCCTGACACTAACCATGGAAAATGCCCTATATCCTTCACTATCCAAGTTAAGGCCAGGAATTAAATCCTAAAGGAGATGAAGTACTATAAAGCAAATTAAGGGTTTACAGAATTCCTGATATTACAAAAATGGTATAATAATAATAATTGTTACTATTATTTATCATTAGAGAACCTAACATTTATATAGTGTTTACTATGTGCCAATTTCTCATCATCAAGGAAGTGGGGGGAGAAAGGATTAAGCATTTACATGGGATCTCATTTGTTGCTCACAACAACCCTGCAAGATAGGTGCTGTTATAATTCCCCTTTTAAAGTTAAGCAAACTGAGGCAAACAGAAGTGAAGTAACTTGTTCGGCTATTAAGTGTCTGAAGTCAAATTTTAACTCATAGCTTTCTAACTCCACGCCCAACCTCTATCACCACACCACTTAGCTGCCTCGTCAGCTTCTGCTGCAACAATGTGCAAAGAAAACTATTTCAAGTTATTTATCTAAACCTCCAGCACAGGCGCACACACACGTATGTGTATGTGTGTATATGTATAGGTTTGTATGTGAATGTGTGTATATATGTACATGTATAAATAAAACGTTGGCAACTCTTTGTCATGGCCTGTCCTGTTAATGTGCATTCTCCCACAATGTCCCAAAACATATCTTTGGAACACAGTACTGGGAAGTATTTCAAAAATACACATTAAAGAACATAAAGTAGTTCAAATGTCCCATCTTCCCCTGTCCCTTTCTCTTCCCTTACTAGATCACAGATTGCCCCACAAAACTGCATTTAGATTGTTCTTGGGAAGGAATAGGGTTTTGTTTACAAGATTTCCCCTTCTCAATTATGCAACGAAAGAATCACTGGTTAAATTCTCTACACTGCATTGGGGGAGGAGGCACACAAAAAGGGTAGGGCCAAAAACCAAAGGGGCAATAAAAAGAGCCCAGGGCTGAGCCTTAAGTCCCTCAGCCCAGGCAGAGGTCTCTCTCCGGACCCCGAAGAGGCCATCGTTTACTTGCAGGCAGGGCCCGAGAAGGGGTCCCAGGGGCCGCCGAGGCCTCCTGGGAGCTCGGATGGAGCGCGCCACCGGCCGCCTCGGGGGAGGAGCCGGGTGACACGTAGGGAGCTGACCCCGGTCGGCCAGAAAGCCCGCACTGCCAGCCCCGGCCCGGCCTGCTGCCTCGAGCCCAGCACCGCCCACTCACCGCGGACTCCCTGCCCTAAGGAATAAAAGAAAGGTGGCAGAAGAGAATCGCCTTCTGACCTCTGGCTTGTGGTTCACTTTCACAAATACCCGGCCAATGTCGGTGTCGTAACTCTGGCCCTTGCTAATGCACCCGCCCGCCGAGTGGCCCGTGGCTTTGACTGTGGAGCTGGGCAGCTCGCGCTTCAGCAGCGCCTCCATCTTTCTCTCCTTTGAACTAGAGCAACTTTGGAAGGGAGGGGTAGGGGCGGAGCGCGCAGGCTCAGGAAAAGACTGGCCAAGTGGGGAGGCGGGGCGGGGTGGGGCGGGGCGGGGCGGGGCACAGTAGCACTTGCTGGAATGGAAGGGTCAAAGCCTGGGCAGCTTCGCTTCCGGGGGACTCCTACCATTACTGAATAAAGATAATCCAGTGAAGCTAACTAATCCAAAAGCTGCTTCCTACTCACTTTCTGCAGGGAAATTTATGCATTCATTCAATACAATTGAATAGGCATTTTATGCCTTTTAAAAAATATATATTCTATTCCATTGATTCACTACTCTATTTCTTAGCCAGTACCAAGCAATTTTGATGATTGCTGCTTTATAATACTATTTAAGATCTGGAATGTCTAGGCCACCTTCCCCTGCATTTCTTTTCATTAGTGCCCTTGATATTCTGGACCTTTTGTTATTCCAAATGAATCTTGTTATTATTTTTTCTAACTCTGTAAAATAATTTTTTGGTAGTTTGATTGGTATGACACTGAATAAATAAATTAGCTTAGGTAGAATTGTCATTTTTATTATATTAGCTCGGCCTACCCATGAGCAACTGATATTTTCCCAACTATTTAGATCTGACCTTATTTGTGTGAAAAGTATTTTGTAATTGTGCATATAGTTCCTGGGTTTGTTTCGGGAGGTAAACTCCTAAATATTTTATAATGTCTACAGTAACTTTAAATGGAATTTCTCTTTCTATCTCTTGCTGTTGGGCTTTGTTGGTAGTATATATAGAAATCCCGATAATTTATGTGGATTTATTTTATAGCCTGCAACTTTGCTAAAGTTGTTTATTATTTCAAGTAGTTTTTTACTTGATTCTCTAGGATTCTCTAAGTATATCATCTTATCATCTTAAAAGAGTGATAGCTTTGTTTCTTCTTTGCCTCAGTATGCAAGACACAGTAGTCAATGACTATAGTAATCTATTATGTGATAAACCCAAAGACCCCAGTGGCTTATCCCAGTGGATTCTGGGATAAGAAGCCACTCTGAAAAAAACTACTGGGAAAACTGGATAAGAGTATGGCAGAAACTAGGCATAGATCAAAATCTCTCACCATACACCAAAATAAAGTCAAAATGGGTTTATGATTTAGATATAAAGGCTGATACTGTAAGCAAACTGGGAGAGCAAGGAATAGTTTACCTATCAGATTTATGGAGAACAGAAGAATTCATGACCAAACAGGAGGTAGAGAACATCATGAAATGCAAAATAGATAACTTTGATTACATTAAATTGAAAGGTTTTTGTACAAACAAAGCCAATGTAACCAAGATTAGAAGGAAGGTAGAAAATTGGGAAAGAATTTTTACAACCAGTCTCTGATAAGGGCCTCATTTCTAAAATATATAGAGAATTAAGTCAAATTTATAAGAATACAAGTCATTCCTCAATTGATAAATGGTCAAAGGATATGAACAGGCAGTTCTCAGATGAAGAAATTAAAGCTATCTATAATCATATGAAAAAATGCTCTAAATCCATATTGATTAGAGAAATGCAAATCAAAACAACTCTGAGGTACCACATCACACCTATCAGATTGACCAATATGACAAAACAGGAAAATGATAAATGTTGGAGAAGATGTGGGAAAATTGGAACACTAATACATTGTTGGTGGAGTTGTGAAATGATCCAACCATTTTGGAGAGCAATTTGGAACTCTGCCAAAAGGGCTATAAAAATGTGCATACCCTTTCACCCAGCAATAGCACTTCTAGCGCTGTATCCCAAAGAGATCATAAAAATGGGAAAAGGACCCACACGTACAAAAATATTTATAGCAGCTCTTTTTGTGATGACAAAGAATTAGAAATTGAGAGGATACCCATCAATTGGGGAATGGCTGAACAAGTTGTGGTATATGAATGTAATGGAATATTATTGTGCTATAAGAAATGATGAGCAGGCTGACTTCAGAAAAACCTGGAAAGACTTGTGTGGTCTGATGCTGAGTGAAGTGAGCAGAACCAGGAGAACATTGTACACAGTAACAGCCTGGTTGTGCGATGACTAATATTGATAGCCTTAACCCTTCTCAGCGGTACAAGGATCTAAGACATCTCCAAAGGCCTCATGATTGAAAATGCTATCTAAATCCAAAGAAAGAACTATGGAGTTCTTTCTTTCTATGGAATTTCTATGAAATGCAGATCAAAGCATACTATTTGCTGTTTTTTTTTCCTGCTGTTGTGCTTTGCTTCCTCTTTCTGGTGGTTCCTCCTATTGATTCTAATTCTTACCTACAACTTCACTAATGTGAAAATATGTTTAATAGGAATATATATTTATAGCCTATATCAGATTGTTTGCCATCTTGGGGAGGGAGGTGGAAAGGGAAGGGGAGAAAAATTTAAAACTCAAAAGCTTATTTAAGTGACTGTTGATAATTCAAAATAAATTAAATATATATATATATATATATATATATAATTTTCAATTCACAGAACAAAACAAGCATTTCCATAACACAGTACAATAAAAACATGATCTCACATGAAACTGCAAATCTACCATGTAGAACTTGGTATTCCTTCCAAATATACAACAGTTATAAATGTGTGAGAAATTCCTCATTCAGACTCAGGAGGGATGAAGTTAAAAGCCCCATTTATTACACAGTTGCAAAAACTGGTGTCCTATTGAATAGGCTCACCCACCAAAGCAATAGTTCACTATTTATTTCTAATTCCAGCCACAAAGTCCCTCCTCTGTTTCCTCAGTGGCTGAGTACTCCAGTACTTTTGGGCACACCTATTACACATTACTCCTTGACATGTCCTCCTTCCTTCTACATACATCGCATGTTCAAAAAATGGTGTCTTAGCCCCACCAGAAGATAGAGAAGTTAATATTCATGAGCCTATTAAGCATGCCCACTTAAACAAAGCTTAAGTGTCCTACTTACTGACTTCTAACTGCAAAACAAGATCAGCAATATCCCATTTTACTTAGTTACTTTTTTAGTGGTTGATTCAGTTTTATGGAAACAAACATTTTCATTATATTTCTCACATGTAAATTTCTTTTTTCCTTTTTTTTCTTCCTGCCACCCCCAAAATGACTACCATTAGATACACATAAGTATACATAAGTAAAATTATTCAATACATACTTCTATTTATCACTTCTTTCTCTGAATGCATATAGTGTCTTTCTTTATGTCCTTTATTTTTAATTTCAAAGTCATTCTTAAAACAATACTTCTGTTACTGTATACAATGTTCTCTTGGTTCTGCTCACTTTGCTCTTCCATCATTTTGTGCAAGTCTTTTCGTGCCTTTCTAAGATCATCATTTCTTATAGCACAGTAGTATTCCATCACAACCATAAACCACAATTTGTTCAGCCATTTCCCAATTGATGGGGATCCTTGCAATTTCCAGTTTTTTGCCACCACAAAGAGGGCTGCTATAAACATCCCATTCACATTCAAAGTTATGATGACTATCTGTGAATTTCCCTCCATTTTATCTTTATTCACTATTTTCTTTCTCAGTCTCTTTTTACCCTACCCCTGTTATCTTATCTTCTCCCTCACTCTCCCACATCCACTTCACCCACCTCTCCAAAAGTTCTGTTTTAAAAAAAGTTTAAATTAATATCTTTTGTTTTTATATTGCCTTAATTTCTAAATAATTTCTTCCTCACCCCAATAGCCATCCCCTATAACAAAAAAGAAAAAAGTAATAGGTAAAAATAGTTCAGCAAACACATCAATAGTCTGACAGTGTATGTGAAATTCCACCTCTATAGTCCCCTACCTCTTCACTCTCTCTTCAGATCTTAACAAAGCATCTGTCTGGTGTGAGGATTTGCTGGGCCCTTTCAGGGCTGCTCATCCATCTTTCACTGTGTCCACCTTTCACTCAACTCTCACATGGTTAAAAATTTGATAGAATCACCCAGCGAAAATAAGCATGATCTTTCAGGGGAGGAGATGGATATTCAACAAAATAGGGGACTTCCATACCTTCCTGATAAAAAGACCAGAGCTAAACAGAAAATTTGATCTTCAAATACAAGACTCAAGAGAGACATAAAAAGGTAAACGGAACAGAAAGAAGCAACGTGTTATTAATAAGGGCAAACTGTTTACATCCCTACAAGGAAAGATGACACTTGTAACTCTTGAGAACTATATTGTTATTACACCATGTTAAAGGGGTATACATAAAAGGGGTGGGTATAAATTGACTTTGATGTAATGATGAAAAAAAGTTAATCAAGTGGGTTCACAACATCCCTGTGAGGTAGGTGCTACCATTATCCCCATTTTACAGTTAAAGAAACTGAGGCTGAGAGAAAGAGACTCACCCAGTGTCACATAGCTAGTAAATGTCTGAAGCAGGATTTGAACTCAGGTCTTCCTGACTCCAGATCCACTGTGCTTCCTAGCTGCCTCTAAGGCCAGAGATTGGTGTAAGTTGGAATAACACATTAAGTTTGGTAATTAAGAGATCATTGGTAACTTTTTAGTAAACAGTTTTGGTTGAATGATAGGACTAGGGATAGATATTTATTCAAGACCTGCTATATGCAAGTCAGTGTGCTAGGTGGAGGCCTTGGGGTTGGTGATGAATGAGCAAAAAACAAGCTATAAGATAGGATCTCTACCCTAAAAATGGCTAGATGATCCTTTCCCACCGAAGAATAGAAGTATAAGCAAAGCTGACACAAAAAGAACAGCAAAATTTGAAAATCATATGGAAATTATGTCTTCTATGATTTCCCACCAGAGACTTGAAGCCTTCACTGTGACAGAGAGCAGAATTTTCTGCTGTTAAAAAATACTTTAGGGGCAGCTAGGTGGCACAGTAGATAGAGCACTGGCCCTGGATTCAGGAGGACCTGAGTTCAAATTTGGCCTCAGATACATAACACTTACTAGCTGTGTGACCCTGGGCAAGTCACTTAACCGGTTGCCTAGCCAAAAAAATAAATAAA